AACAAGGACCTTTCAGTCGGTCATAGGCACCGCTGAATTGGTAGGTTGGGAGGTAAGGCATGTAGGAGTGGTGGCAGTTCGATTGCTCGTAACCCTGAGCTCGCCTGGACTCCCTCTATTTAGTGCTCGTGCTATTTTAGCCTGGGTTCTCGATGATGGTGGGGTTACGCGTCGGTGTCCATCCTAGAGCACCACCGTCCCGGCGGCTCACACGTGGCTAGACTGTCACATTGCTTTCTAGCTTCAACCGTCAGTAGGGCGTACACCACGGTGAGCGACGAATGCTTCCCCACCATCTCTACCTTGCTGTGAGGGTGTAGGCTCGCCGGAACAGTCGCGCCACCGCCGCAGATAGCCGCTCGCCGCTGTAGCTCATGCCAGTGCATCTCTGAGTCCCTAACCGCCGCCCATCGTAGCGCGTTTAACCGTAGATGGTGACCGGCCCGCTAAGTGTGTCCGTGCAGGCCTCTGTTGGCCGGCGTGGACGCCTAGTGCCGCCGCTCGCCGCGCCGCCGTGCACTGGATGACCGGGGGTGCGTACGAGGAAATTTGGAAGAATCCAGGGAGTTAAGTAAATTCGCCAGAGAAAGGAAAAAATAGTATTAGGACTTAGTTGTGGTTCGGAAAAAGTCCGAGGGCTCATTTGCTAAAGTGCCAGCGCGGGCTCCTCGCCGTGGGCCGTCTCGCGTGTGGGCCGCGCTCCGCGCTGGGCCGGCCTGCTATGCGCGCCGGCGTCCCACGTTGGGCCAGGCTGGGCTGCTGGGCCGAATGGTTGCCACCGGCCCTTTTCCTTTTTAAGCCTTTTCTAATTTAGTTTCTAAGGTAAACTTGTAAATTCAATATAAAAATATATAGTTAACCAAAAATTATGAAACCAATTTTGTTAAGTTCCTAAAATCATGATGTATCTGCTAGTATGTTTTGTTCATATAGTTTTATAATATTTTCAAGAGTTATCTAATTAATTTAAGATGCTTAATATTGTAAGATATAAATTTATAGAAATTTTTGTGATAAATTGGTGATAGTGTTGGCTCTAAAACTTTCATAGTAAATTCCTAACATTATTGGGTGCTCACTGTAATTTTTGTAGCTCCATAATAATTAGTTGCTAGGTAGCTAAATGAGCCCAAGTTCAAAAATATATGTTTAATCAATAAAATGCCGAAACATCTTGGGATTTTAGAACTAAAATATTTTTCCGAAGGCGAAGCCTTACTTGACAACATGGATACGAAGACTAGTACTTCAGTCATTAAAACTAGCTCGTTAGCTTATGGAGCGTAATCATATTTTAGAGTTGCAGTTACCATTGATTATATCTTACCTAGGCAAGCCCCGGTGTATAACCCCTATTATTTTGCTCTTTATCTTATGCTTATGCATTAAGTTTTAAGGAGTTGAATGAAAACCACTTGCATATATATATCCTTATCCTATGAGTCCTACTAGTATGTCAGGATCATGTAGATTGCTATGCTATAGGATTCGGTACAAGTCGAGTGATTACCTATTACTCGCGAGAGACAGGAAAGATATTATTGTTGTTAGTATATTACTATCACATGAAATATATATATGGATGATAATTAGAGACCGGACATAATGGTACTTTAGATATGGACTTGGTTAGGCATCCGAGCGAGGCTCAGATTGCACGTGTTCCGCCTATATCGATTGAGGACCGTTCGTTGCTGTGGATGGTAGTCAGGTCACAGACTTATTATCCGAAGCACATACTTGCTTATGGGAGCGGAAATGCTCGTTACGCTCTTGTCGTGGGTTCCAGCTCTTTTCGGATTGATTGATTGGAGGTGGGGAAAGGTGGAGGTCTAAGCACCATACTGAGATCGGGTCTCAAATGTGGGGGCTTGGAGTCCAAGTTTGGACGGGGACCTAAACCCCTTGACAGGAGTGGAATGGGTTGGTCTTGTTTGTGCCTGGGATACAAACAGGGCATGTGTTTTGGGGTACCCAGCTGGAATACATTGATTCGTGAATCGCTATTTCTATGAGACGGTACCGACTTATCTATGATCTAGCACCATAGTAAGAACTGGAATATGAAAAGGGTAAAATGGTTCTGATTGCTTACCACCTGCTTGAAAGTAGCATAGGTGCTTACATAGAATGGTTAGTTAATGAACTAATGATGACTGCTAATGAAATTGAATATAAGGACGCACATTTAGTAATGCTTCCGCAGATGCAATAACCCATCAGCCAAATGAGCCTTGTATATCCTTGGAGTCTTTTATTTTCCTCCTGTCGGGTATGTCTTGCTGAGTACAATCAAGTACTCAGGGTTTTATTCCCCCTGTTGTAGGTGATCAATTGATACTTAGAGCTGACTCTTGTGTGTGGAAACCTCCTGATGGGATCAGAGAGGATTCCTTTCACGCTACTACCATAGTGTTTATTTATAACTCTCACTAAGGGGTTTTGTAAGAAAAGATGTAAAATCTGCTAGCATCTTTTGTATAAAAATGTCCACGATGTTAATGCTCCACCATGTTATTAAATTAATCTTGCTTCATCTGTAACTCTGATAACATTGTTATATTCCACTGTTATAATAAATGGAGGTAATATTCTGGTACTGTAATAAAGTGATGTAAGAAATGACTTAAGAATGTTGTAAGCTTCATTCTCTCGTTTATGATCCTGATGCAAAATATGGATTTTCGAGTTCTCCCTTGGGGTGTGCTCGATGGAACAGCTCGATTTAGTGCACTCTCTTGGGTACTTAGTGTCTAATAGAAGACAAGTACTCTTAGGAGGGCATTAGATTAGACAGTTCTACCACACATGCACACTTATGTTTTACTCATTTTCTAGGGTTACCCTAGAGCCAAATACTATGAAAGAGCCCTTGCATATTGCTTACCCCCAAAGCAATAGCATCATTGGGTTGGGCATTGGCCAGTACAAAATCATACTAAAATATCTTGGTTTCAAGAGATGAGCGTGAGTACGACTTAGACCACGATGGTTGGGACACATGACAGTCTACATCCTATGGTTGTGGAGGATGACACCAACTTCATAGCACTCGCTTCTCTTTGCTTTTATTTATTCTCTTTTTGATAGTCCACATGGACTTATAATAATGGTAAAGACCCCTATTTGTACCCTTAATAGAGGTATTTGAACACTATGTATGATTGTGGAACCAGTTGTGGTGGTAATACATATGGCAGCGCTTCTCCTTAGACTATCACTTTGTTGTAATACTATGGATTTTCCTCTGTAGAAAATTGTGGTTCATTGCAATCAATCTAATATGTTGGTCAAACACAACTCTTACGACTTAAACCATGGCATAAGAGGTCTTTTTCGATCTTCTTTTGTAGTTTGACAACTCTATTTAGAGTTGCACTCATGTGTGTGATGATTGTTTGTGTCACATCATAGCTTGGAGAGACATGGAGACATGGGAAAGGTTTCATAGAATGGAATGTGATGGTGATGAAGGTAGTCTTATGCTCATGCATCATTGTCTTCGATAACGCCATCCTGCACAATGTGCAGTAGCCCTGTCATCATCATGAACCAGAACTATTGCATTGACGACAACTATCCACATGAGGTGCGGGTCTAGGCATAAAGCTTATTGGTGTTTCTAAGGAAGTGGCCTGACGAGCTATAAGAATTTAGCTGTATGCTGATATGTTGAAGCTTGAGCACTTCCTAGTAGAAGATCCATCGACATGCACAACTTTAGGCTAACCTAAGTGCCTAGAATCAATATAGTTCCAACAACAAAGTGAAAATGAAACTTTTTGATTGGAACACTAGAATACATAACATTTGGATTTTAGTCAGCAATAAAGCAGTTACACATAATATCTTCTCTTATAGAAAACCAATCTTAAATGGATACATAGGCCAACTTGAATGGCAACCACAAACATTGTGTTGTTTCCATACAAATCAAAGGCATAATAAGGGTGACAACATAATTGAGAACCATTTACTACAGGAAGTATGTTAGGTTTTGCCTATTCCTTGACCCACTTTTGCCATATAGCTCATTCCATTGCTTGATCTCATTCATGACTACACCATCACTAGCAAAGCTTGCAGAGACCTGTGTAGTGTTAGATTCACAATAGTTTATCAGTTTGTCCCCTTGGTAATAAGGTCTACCAAATAATAATATAAAATCATAAGTTGTAGGCTATAAAACATGCAAATTGGTTCGCAACACTTACTTCATCTTTGGCCTGCTTCATGTCCTCCATGGTTAATGGCCTAAGGGTGATTACCTCATTGATTTCATCCTCGTCGCCCTCCTCTAAAATGGCTTCCATGTCTTTGCTGTTTTTTGACTTTTCCTTCTTGCTTTCTTCATTTTGTGGGTTCTCAACACGCACATTCTTCCCTTTCACTTCCTTTTCCTTCTTGTCCTTAGAAATAAACATAATCATATCATGTAACATGATGTGACTCTGGCATCAAATGTTGACAATATCTATATTGATATCTTTATTACCCTTTTTCAGTGACATGTTATATTCCTACATGTTTCAATCAACAAAGTCTGTGCCTCTTAACTATGAAAAATAATAATCCTTGGTACAATTCATTAAAATTTAACAAGGGGTTTTGTTTGTCCTTTGTCATACCTTCTTCATTTGTTTTTCTTTCTGAAGTAGCTCTCGAATAGGATGATAAGCGGCCACCACACAAAGATTCTAGGGAAATAGAGCTTTAGTAAAACAAAGAATGACCTTCAAACATTGAACATTAAGATTAGCATGCGAACCTTTAGATCACTGTCGCTGTATCCCTCAGTCATTTTGCTAAGTTCCTTGAAGTCGATACCTTCAATGTTTTCCTTGGACAACAACTTATTCAAAATTAGCTCTCTACTCTCAAGAGTAGGGAGACCAATCATTATCCTATTTGAAGCCACATGATACATCAGTGAATAGTCTAGAGATGATGTAATTTGATCAAGATCATAAATTTTAGAAACAACAAAGTTTTAAACACACCTGTGCTCAAACCGCCTGATGATTGCATCATCAAGGTCAAAAGGTCGGTTTGTCGCGGCGAGGACTAGAATCTTTTCACTTGGTTTGGACAATACTCCATCCCAATGCATCATGAATTCATTCTTGATCCTCCTTGATACCTCATTTTCATTTGAACGTTCGCGTGTCCCTAGCATGCCGTCTACCTCGTCCATGAAAATGATGGCTGGTGCAATTTTGGTAGCTAAACTGAACAACGCTTGGATGCTCTTCTTAGCCTCTCCACACCATTTGGACATGATGGTAGACATTGAGATGTTCATGAAGCTAGCACCAGCTTCATTGGCTATAGCTTTAGCAAGCATAGTTTTACCCGTTCCAGGTGGTCCAAACAATAGAATTCCCCTACATGGTTTTAATAGACCACCATTGAAGAGATCGGGCCGTTGAAGTGGAAGCATGACAAGCTCCCAAATTGATTCTTTGATATCAGCTAGTGCTCCAATGTCATCAAATGTCACTCCTATTTCACTAGCAGGGATCACTAATTCTCTTATCCGCTTTTCATATTCGATGTATTTAGTGACCTATAAGGCAATAGGCAAATATGTAAATGGTAAATACATCATCTTCTACTATTTCTATGAATAGAATATTATATTGTTTCCTTTACATCAGGAAATGAGAAAAGCAAAAAATTGTTGCTTAATGAAAAATATGGGATACCTTTGAGTCGTCTTTTGTTTCAACTAAATCTTTTTCAAGGTTACTTTCTTGAAAAATTCTTAATCCATAACATAAACTGCTCAAGAATGATGTTGTTAGCAAAAGTATGTTAAAAAGACTAACTAATGGTTCATGATATATTCAGGATAAATTAACTAACCTCGTTGAAGATAGAATAAGCCTTCCGTTTCTGTACTTAGGGTCCTGGTTATTCATCAAATGGTATGAGACTGCTGGGGCTAAAATATCCTCTAGGTAACTTGCAATTTCTACATAATCATCTAGGGAGATAGAACTCAAATCATCACACTCCAAATTGTATGATGACAAACCCCCTACAATTTGATGTCTAAGGATTTCATCACGAGCTTTTATCATATCATTTCACATTTGTCTTGTCCATCTTTGAAGATGAGCATCTTCATTGGGAGGCCTAGTCTCCAGGATGTATGGGAATAGATCAGTTAGATCCTTATTAATGTCATCACTATCTTGATTGTCATCAAGGAAGTGCGAACCGATTATCAAAACTCTTCCAAATTATTTGTTCAACATCTTCTAAAACATACAAAATGCTCTCGGTGAACTACGAAGGATAATATCAACATCCCTGATATAAAGAATAACTGGGCTACATGTAGAAGCCGAAATAATGATCTACAAAATTGGTTTAATATATCAATTCATAATACAAGTATTACATTCCATCGTCAATTATGCATGTGGATCTTGATTTACCTTGTAAAGGCACTGTAAGAGAATTTTCACATCCAAGCTCCTGGAGCACTAAAACCTTCATTAGAAAAAGGAACCATAAGTAACTCATGCATGCAAATTGTTCCTTGCTATCAATAGTATACTACATCCAAAATAAGAAACACAATTTATGGATAATGTAGAAAAGCCTTAAGCTTAAAATTTAAGTTGGACGAATTGATATAAATAGACCATTTTAGTTTACCAAGTCATAGCTTCTTAGAAATTGATGGAAGCTAGCAGTCATGTTTTTATTAATTTGTCTCATGCATGAAAATAGTTGTGGCATAGATGAGGTAGTAAATAAGAACTTTGACTCACCACCACTACCACCACCACCACCACCATCATCATCATCATCACTGGATTCTGAGTCTTTGTTCTTTTCATTAGATAATAAGGACATGTATTCCCCAACTTACTTCATGTTCTTACAACGAACACATCTATTGACAAACACCAAAAAATGGTAAAGAGGGACAAACTATTATCAAAGGACAAGTTTCATTGCACCACAGATGTGTTACCTTGTGTTTAAATCATGATTACCCTTTACATGATCCACTGATCCTGCAACAATATTTCATGACAACACAATCATAATACCATGCTTGGTTATGACTTGCAAGACGCGTGTAACAAGCAAAGAAGTTTATAGGAAAAGTTGTGTGAAAAACAAAGGTTGTATACATCACATCATAAATATTGGTCTACAAGAAGAAGCCAGAAATTAACTAGTATTAGATAAAAAGAATAATAATTTGATACCTATTGACTCATCCTTCTTGCAAAATATGCTTAAAGATCCAACAAAATCATTCATTTTTTTCCAAAGCTGACATAGTTTTGGATCTTATAGGAACCTAGATCAAGAATGGACAAGAGTTGGTTAGTTAAATCATCAAAAGTTTGGCTCATTGCTAGAATTAAAAAATATATACATAAATGTCTCCAAGTGTTAGATGCGGACAAACTATTATTGTCCTTTTCCAAGGACCCCATGGCTCATGTGAAGCTTGAAGCCAACTTACTTCTGATTATGTTTTGTAATGGGGAAAATGTCCAACAATCTGACTACAAAGAGTGGTGATATTGGCACCCATCAATCAATTATATGAAAAGAGAATGTAGGACCACCAAATCAACTAAAACACTACTCAAAATCATCAATAAAATGTACCATACAAACTAAAGGTATTATCTATGTAAATCAATAAGAAGGTGAAACAAGAACCAACTTCAACCTGTGCATTGCTTGAGCCACCATATTTGTGTTGGATCTGTTCAACCACAAGAAGAGGTTTATGGTAATATTAGGGAAAGGGGAAAGAGAAACTACCCTCCAAATAGTATCAAGCTGACCTGATGCAAGAACTCGAAGATATCTAGTGCTAACAGATGTGCATTGAATTGGTTGGCAAGGGCCTTGGCAAGTGATCGTAGGCACATCTCTGTAGCAAGACATCATGTTGTCAAAACATGATCCAGCCGAAAAGAGCATGCATGTATGCGTAAGCAAACTTGATTGACCGCAAAGTAGTATGGTGCGGCTTGAGTCCTTGAATACTTTGATGTGCTTTGGCAGAATAGTTTGACTCAGGTATGGGAATGTTGCGCTCATGAGCACCAGCCTCATTTCCTCACTAAGAAACAGGGCGGACAAAATCCTAATCATTTATGGTTCATCAAACATGATTCTAATTTATTTTGACCCAAATTGATACGATCCCTAAAGTAGCCACCCAAATCCTACCAATCAATCCAACATAACTATAGACTAATCAGATCACTAGTTATTTTCCCAATCAAAACAAGGTGGGTAAAAAGGATGTAAAAACCACACACGCACCTGAGATAATATGGGAAGTCGGAAAAGGAAATTTTGGTCTCTTGCTCGTCGACAAGGAGGCATCGAAGCTTTGATTCGATATCTGCAGCTGTTGCACTGCCACCCAAGGTCCCGTCCCCTCTTGGCGAAGATGCCATGAGTTGTGTCGACGCCAGGCCAAGGCCGACACCCAATCCTACGCCTATGCCTACCGTGGACACGAACAAGCTACCGTTGCTACTACAATTCTCCATGGGCGCTAGACACTAGGACACCTCAACCTCAAACAACAGAAGTTCTTGGTTTGCACAAGGGCACGCAACTTGGTGGTGGGATAGGGATGGACTCTAAGGTGACAGAACACTCAACACTGAGTGGGGTTGCTGTTGTTGGTGCTCTATGACTGAGGAGAGGTCTGGTATTTATAGAAGGAGACGAGGGTTGTGGTGGGGATCAACTCTGTCAAGTCTCTAAGGGTCCAGGTCAAGTAGGCCAGTAGGTGTTATGATGCACATAGTTGTAGAAATGAGGAGTTATGACCACTAAATTCTTTCAATATTGATGATTATATAGAAATCAACAAATAGGTTCCATAAATCATATTCCTTCAACATATTGGGCTCACACACATCATGACTAATACATCCTAATGCTGCACAAATTTCAAATGGCAGAGTTAAGGGAAAGTGGGTAGGGATCAGTTATCAAACAAGCTAGATGCTACAATAGAAAGTTAACAGAGAGCCGTTATCAAGTATTATGCATGCCATGAGGAATATAGAGCAGTTATAAAGCATGATGACAGTGAGAACAAACATGTCACTACAACCTATAGGGAACAAACATGTCACTACAACCTATAGGAGCAAGAACAAATGGTAGTGGCAAAGTCAAGAGTGTGAACAAGTGTTATGTGCGTGGGTCTGGGTATAGGGGACCACTATTGTACCCACCATGCCCATACCACTTCACACATTGTTCCATTAGCAAAGTTTCTCAAATACTAGAATTGCAAATAATTAGAAGACATTGTCGTTCCTTTTCAAGAACTTTGGGACACATGGGAATGAAGTAATAGCCATTGCCAATCTATACTATTGGTTACAACAATCGATTTCTAGTAGCTTGCTTGCTTGCCACCATACTTTGCAAAACTTACATGGTGGATATTTATTGTATCCATCACTATATGGTATCCATGAATCATATTATCTCAATATATATTGGGCTAGCACATAGAAATACTAGTCACATTCCAAATGATTGGTTGCCATACATTGGGTTATGGTACTCATGTAAAACCGTAAGTATTTCTTTATGGTAAAAGTTGTAGGTAGGGTTATTGGGGAGCTTTGAGTGTGTAGAAAGTTAACATAGAGTGGTTATCAAACAAGATAGATGTCGTGACATAAAGTTAATGGAGTTACCAGATAAGATGGATGCCACTATGAAAAGTTAATGGAGAATGTTATAAACAACATGAATGTCATTACAAAAAGTTAACATAGAGACATTGTCAAAATGATGTATAGGGGTGTGGACACATCATGATGGCCGGCTCAAGAGGAAAAATAAGTGGCATGGCATAGTGAAGAGTGTAGACATGTGAGATGGGTGTCAATGAAATGGTATGGAAGCATCTGATGTACACCCAACCTTCTTCCTTTTATAAAACTTCTCAAGGGAAATGAAAATAGTTAGAAGACTTTATTATTTTACATTTAAAAATATTAGAAAGTATCAGAATAGTTCTATACTATCCTACGATGACATGATAAGTTATGACCACATGTTTCTTTCATTGTTGATCATGACTTATCAATCAACAAATGGACTCCAAAAAATCATATTTCTTCAACATATCAGGCTCACACACAACCAAACTAATATGGCATGATGTTGCGCAATTTTAAATAGCACACTAAAAAGAGAATTTAGAAAGGAGCAGTTAACAAACAAGCTGGATGCCACAATAAGTTAAAGGAGAGCCGTTATCAAATATGATGTATGCCATGATAAAAAGTTAGGATAGTAGTTATCAAGTATCATGATTAGGGAAGGAAACATATCACTGCAACCTATAAGACAAAGTACAAACAACAACACCATAGTGAAGAGTATAAACACATGGTGGGTGTAGATGCTTGGGAGCACCATTGTACCCACCATAAAAACACCATTTCAAACCGCCTTTTATTGGAAAGTTTTCTCAAATACTAGAATTTTGAACATTAAGAAGATGTTGATTTTGTTCCTCTTCAAGAGATTTGAGAGACTAGAGGATGATGTAGTGTTCATAGGCTATTGACATTGTATCCTATAGGTTACAACAATTGATATCATAGTCTTGCATGCTTGCTGTAAAGAAAATGTCACCTAGCATTGGCCATTAAGTGATTTTGGTGTTTGAGTGACAACATGACCATTTGGGCTAACAAAGTTTGCTAGTATACAAGGTGTAATTCAAATGGACGCAAGGTTGGCTTGGACAAAGGAAACTTGAAGATCAGAGTGATCAACACCTCAAGCCATGCAAGAAGTCCAAGTCACTAGATGGAAAAAGCTTAGTCTTGAAGGCATCGTTGGTGGTGCAAACATCCAACACCATCACTATATGTATGATGCAGCAGGGATCAGAAGTGTATCACCGCCGAATCATTTAGTAACCCGACACCGACTAAAGGATCATCAAAGACAGATCATGTTGCAAGGCGATGGTGACCATGACCTTTGGACTGATGGTTCATATGCTCAAGTGACGGTGATGTTTACCTTGACACAGACATCTCGGCCATCGAAGCGATGGTAAACCCGCACCGCAGACAGTCAAGTCATAGTACAAGGCAACGGTGATGGTGAGCACTACACACGCGGTTCATGTTCCCAAACGACGGTGATGTTAGCCTCGACATAGGTGGATCATTAACCAATACGGCGGTGTTGAGGTCCTTCATAGTCGGTTGTTAGCCGACCATGATGACATCGACTATCACCATCTAGTGTTTGCTGCCGAGGCCGAAAATTAGTTGGGAGTATTGCCATGACATTTTGGATTTGCATTATTATTGATTTTTGTTGCAATTAAAAAAATTGGGTGCTATTGCAACTATATTGAATTTGGTTTCATTTGCTTGCAACTATTGCCACGTTTATTTTGGGTGGCAATAATCTTCAGTGGTATTGCAATAGTTAGGTGGGTATGTCAATGAATATTATCAATCGATGCAATAACATGTTCCAATTGTCACAATTTGTTTGGGTTGTAACAATCTTCAATAGCATTGCAATCACTAGGTGCTTATTGCAATGAGAATCCTAAACAGATGCAATAACATGTTACTATTGCCACTGTTAATTTGTGTTGCTATAGGACAATGTGTTTGTTGCAATACAATGTGTTGGCGACACTTGTATTTGGTGGGCCATTGAGCATGGGCAAGGGCCCAACAAATTGACAGCTATCTAGCTAGCGTTGTTGCAACTACATGATCCATCTATCCTAAAAAAACTACGTACATGATCTCCCTCATCCCTTCTGATCAAAATTTCAAATTATTCAAACGAACTCGTATGGAGAAATGACCAAAACCAATGTTGTAGATCTATTTGATGACTTTGTTATTTAAAATCATTTACTATCCCAAAATTATGTTCGATATTCTCATATTTTGAAATTCAAATTTTTAAATTGTTCACACGAACTCGTATGAAAAAATGACCAAAACCAAAGTTATAAATCTCGACGAGTTCTAAAAATTTGTAGTTGATGATTTTTTCATTTAAAATCATTTAATATCATAAAATCATGTTCAAAATTCTCATATACTAATCTTTACCATGGCGTGAAAAATGACAAGAAAAATGAAAATGGGGCGACCACAAATATTCAAACTTGCAACCTCACCATCACACCCATGAGAACAACAACAACCCACTACCACTAGACCAATTGCATGTATGTGTAAAATCTAATGTTTTATTTTATTTGCTATATTAAACTTTAGCATGGCGTGGAAAAAAGATAAGAAAAATAAAAATGGTGCAACCACCAAGGTTCGAACATGCATTTTACTCCAAAGAGGACAACACCTCCACTACCACTAAACCACTTGCATTTTTGTGGCAATATAGTCTATTGCAACACCATTTCGTTGCTAGTACACCTGTTGTGACTAATATCTCTGGTACTATTACCACCAACACGGTTGCTCCCTAAACTATGACTTGCAATGCTTCATTGTGTTGTAAAAGGTAAAACTATTGCAATACACAAAAAATTTGGTGGCCCAAACTTTATACCACGACCACATTTTGCACCACCGTCAATCAAATTTTTATGTTGTAATTCCACCTATTGCAACCATTTAGGGTCTATTGCAACACTTTTAGGCCGTTGCATTAGGGGTGAATTCTAGCATAACAAATGGAAGGGAAAGAAGCAAGTTGAAACAAACTCAAGTGAAGAAAAAGATGATGAAACTTCTACCACCTCCTTGTCCGTTGATGAAGAAGTAATGCAACTCATAGAAGGAACAAGTAGGATGCTTCACAAGATGCGGTCCAAGGGTGTGCCCATCTACTGTACTACGAGGGCCCTTGCTTTGGGGTCCCTTGGCTGTTGTTGATACTCGGGGCGAGGGTATATCTGGTGACTATCAGAAAGACCATGATCTGGCTTCCATGGGGGTTGTTGAAGGAGGGCTAGCATCTCTAGAGGACTCTATTGCCTAGGTGGTTGGAGGCATTGTTCACCGGGTTGTGGTGAAGGTTTTGGAGGAAGTTGCTTTTGAAGTTTGTTTTGAGGAGGATCCCCCTCCATTTTGGAGTATAGGAGAAGTTTTGAGCGAAGACTTGTGTGTGTTTTTGGTGTATGATGTGTTCAGCTTTAAGAGAGAGGGTGTAGATGTTCTATTGGGTTGTCTACTATAACATTGTGTCGGTGGTTGTGATGTGAGTACAAGTTGTAAGTGTATGTTGTTAGTAGTTTGGTTGCAAATCGACACCCTTGCTTTTCACTTTCGTGAGGCTTTGTTGGATCTTGATTGTAGAGCGATGCCCTCATTTCGTTTTGTGTGAGGCCTGTGCAAGTTTAAATTGTAGAGAGACGCCGTTAGTTTCTTTTGGGTGAGGCTCGCATGACTTTTGCGTGAGGCCCCCGTTTACTTTTGTGCGATGCTTGCATAAATTTGGGTTGCGAAGTGATGCCCCTGTTTCCTTTTGTATGAGGCTCACAAAAGTTTGGGTTGTGAAGTGA